CCGCTCATTCCATCACATCCCCCAGCTCTGCTCAATCACCTCCCCTCCCCAAAAAAGAGCCAAAGAAAACGAATGTTTTGGAGGCCAGAAGGAGGCATCCACCTCCTCCTCATCTCTCGTTGAGTGGGGAAAAGGGCGACTTTGCACGCGATGCTGTGCGATGCTGCTGAATGTTTTCCTTCGCCAGTGGCTGGATGGCTGACTGGCTGGTTGGCTGGTTACCTTCTTTGGGTCTGTAGTGCATGTCATAATCAATGGTGCGGTGCATGCGCCATCTTCCATCTTCCGCCTTGCATAAGACACAAACAGCACCAGCAACCAGCACCAGCACCGGTAGGGGAGAGTTTCACTTTTTCCATCTGTCTATCTATTTGTGTGTTTTTGGTGGCCATTGTCGCTGATGCTGATGCTGCTGCTGCTGCCGGGAATAATTAATGCCAGCCAATCTTCCGGCTAGCGGTAGCCAAATACTAATTTATGCAAATTTCAGTTAATTGATCGCCATCAGGCATCAGAGTTATCATCCACTTCGACTCCCAATTGATTGACAGAACACCGATTTGGCCATTCAATCGTTGCTTTGTATACTCCCCACCTAAAAGCAGATCCCCCTCCTGGTTCATTGATCATTGCTGCTGTTTACCAAAAAGTTGAATTTCATTCGATTTCAATTGCCCCCGAAATGTTGTTGACCGCGAAACAAAAGTCGCAAAACTTGTCGGAGTGGGGCATGGGGCATACAAAGTACGCTTTCGACACTGCCCTTATATATATATATATATTTATATCCCATTGAGTAATGCAAAAAAGATTCAATGCGGGGCGTTGGGCTTATTACATGATGAAAGCGTTACAAATCTTATAATGCTTTGAATAAAACACTTCAGATGGGGCCGCGACCAGTACGTGATAAGGCGACAATGAGACTGCGACTCCAATGACAACAACGACGACGACGACGACCCATCATCGTAGACCACAAATCGAGTCTCATTAACATTTCAGCCAAATGGGTTCAGTTTGCTTCGTTTTTGTTTTGTTTGTCGAGCAGATAATTTATGTGCATGTAGCAATGTCGCTTGGGCCAATGATATCATGATGAACGAACAACAAACAGCCCACGCCCCATGCCCCAGAGCGGCAAACAGTTCTACGAAATTTGTAATTGGCCTAGAAAGAGACGCGGTGTGCCCCAAAGCGGCGAAATTATCAACCAATACATCAATTTAATGACTTCATTTTCGGTCAAGAAAGGAGGAACCCAAAGTTTTTATATTTTGGAGCTATATTATTGTTCACAGAACGAAAGAGAGAGAGAAAGAGCGCGGGGGAGATCTTCCAGCTTTGCAGCTTTACCGAAAACTGCCCTGAACTTACTACCTGTTCCCAGGGCGTCGGATTGCACCTGCGTAGCGACACTTGATATCCCCCAGAAAGGTCACCCAACACAACGAACGAACCCCAGAGACCCAGACCCAGACCCCAAACACACACACACACACACACAAACACACGATCAAAATTAAGCCAAACGAGCGTGTCAATTGCCGTCGATTTGCTATGAATGGAAGGCGGGGAAGGCGGCGCTGTGGTGGGGAGTGGGGAGGGGCGGTGCTATGGTTTGTAGAAATAAAAACCCAATTGAGATCCAAGTACTTCCGCAGCAGCTCAGCTCTATGGAGTGTCGTATGCCGTTTACCGTTCAATTCGATTCCCGCGCTCCAACTTCCGGCGAGACATCGAGAGCGACCGCGACGAGAGGCCAGTCCTCCCCAATGCCACTCGACCAGCCTCAAGCTGGGCAAATGTTTTTTGCTTTTTAAATGAAATGCGACCAAATCAAATAATTTGTTAACACTACCGCTTAAGTCAACAGTTAAACAATCAGCCGGACCAATCGATCGGCTCGGCTCGGATCGGTTCGGTTCGCCGGACGATCAACGTTTTTCAGGTGCTTTCAGGCCGATTGCGCCATTTGACAGACATTGATTTAATTTTTGTTCGTATTTCGTATTTTATATTTTGAATTTATTCAGCTTTTGTTTGGCTGTTGAACCCCCCTGGGCAATTAAAGCTGCACGATGCCGATGGCAGCGCCAAAGTGAATGTGGTTCGATGAGCCACGCACCTTCCGTCGATTCATCCATCCAGCCAGGCCATGCTGCGGCTTGGCTTGGTTGGTTAAGGTCACCAGGGAGCACCACATCGCCGCAATGGGTGTGGAACGAACCGAACGACTGGGAAGTGATTGGAGCTCTGGTCCGAAAGTCATGCAATGAAATGGGAACAGACGGAAAGGCGCCATCTAAAATATGGATGTGTGTGGCAGGGGGGATTGCAACTACCAAAGCAAATATTTCAGTGGAAGAGCAAATCCATCTGGGAGTGGGGCAAAGCCATACCCCAACCATTCGAGCACTACTCAGAGGTTTGTGTTTGTGTTTGAGCTTAGCAAATAGCTGCATTAGTTCTAAGAATGAAACACTCAAAAAGCTTTGAGCGGGCGGTGCCTGGCCTTTGATGTGGCCTGTGACTAATTGTTAAAGTCGCGTTGTAGGTGTAAAGTGCTAAATGCCGGGCACTGACTCAAAGCAGGAAGCTCTACCCTGCGCGAAATTAAATCAAAAACAAAAATTTAATTTAAAATAAAATAAAACAAAAACAGAAAACCGAAAATCAAAAATCGAAAAACAGCATTCGCCTTATGCACAAATACAAATCATCCTTGACGCATGCGCACACCAAAAACGGCAGCCCAGAAAGACAATATATGTGCCTCGTAATACCCGTATGGCTGGATGTTCATGGATGTATTGTACGTACGGAGGGGGCAACGAGACAAAAATGAGACAAGCCGTAGGACTGACTGCATACATGGCAAGGCTGTAGACCTTTTTTGGCCACATCAACCAAAGCAGCTTTTTTTTTTGAGAATTTTCAATTTTTTTGTGGCTGTTTTTTTTTTGTTTTGCTTTTTTTTTGTTTTTAAACAAACCTCCTGCCTCCTGTGTGTTGGCGGGAAGGGAGGGGGGTTTTTCGTTTAAATTGACGTTTATTTCCAGACGATGGCGGTCGAAACTTTCGAATTTTTCGACTTTAATGAGGAGTCGAGTTAATTTGGTCCGGCATTTGAAGAGGCTCACGAAAACGAAAACGAGAACCAGAACGAGGATGAGGCCGAGGACAGCACCCAGCAGCAGTTCTGAAAGATGCAGCCAGCAGCAGCACAAAACGAGGTGTTTATCAAGACACCCAACACAGCCACACATTCAGATACATATTTCTGTATATATGTATATATTCTCGTATTTTATGTACAGCTACAGATACACATCTGACGTCATTGGCATTGGCAGTGGCATTGAAACTCAAGGTTAAAGTTGGTCAAATCTTTGCAGCAATAAAACATCTCCCACGCACACAATACAAGATCTACATTAATATCAATATTAATTAGAATAAGTTGAACAAAAAGCAGTTTTCTGGATCCATAAATCCATCTTCCATAAAACCAACAATAAGAGATTGACCCCAGTGTGCTCAGGTCACCATATTGCAGATTGGCGAACCTTCTGCAAAGCTTCGGTTTCGCCTGATCGTCGTGAATATGTCAACTTTGAAATGAATTTAGAATGAGCAGCAACTACCTGGCGATAAGGTTTCTGTTTTTTGTTTTATAATTAACCAAAATCCGCACAAATAACAAATAACTTTGAGCCAGAATTCAAATGTGCCGATTCTGTGGCCAATTACTTATGTATATTCGGAAAAAAAAAAGAAGAACACAACAGAAAAACAATAAATTTCAAATATCTAATCGCATTAAAACCCAGACTAATGTAAATGCTAAAGTTTTTCTATCGAAATATTTGCAATGCTAATTCACAAGAACTTAGGATCGCCCAATAAGAACACACACACACACATATATATATATAATGCGTATATATAGATGGCTAAGATTGTGGAATATGTAAACGATATGTCAGATATTCGAAGAGCATCGAAAACTTTCACTCAACATTGAAGTCATCATTGAAAAATGTTTGCTTTCTGTTCAGTGGAGACGGAGAGAGACCTTCAAAATTCTATTTCCATTTCCGCCCCAAACAATTATAGACGAACGCATTTCAGCGGCCTTTCAGCGCTCTTTCAGCTCTACATCAGCCGAACAGAGTTGAGCTTTGATTAACATTAGAATTGGTTATTAATTTGCATCCACATTCAAAGCTCCGACCGACCGACCGACCGACCGACCGACTGATCATTAAGTATATTTTTTCATATTAATGTTTTGAGCTGGCAGAGGAGAAATACCAAAAGAAAGTAGACGATATTTGCGGTCGGGTCGGGTCGGCTGGCTCTTCTTCATCGCGAATCTTCTTCGATTCGTTGAACCCCCCCAAATGACTTCCAATTAACCAGATCGGGCGAAAGGTTGCGTTGCCCAGATCAGGCGAAACGAAATGGGTTTTTGGTTTACGAGTGGAGTGCCAGGCCAGGCCAGGCCAGCAGAACTTCTATGCGATCTGACTGACTCATGGTCGTGTCTTGACTTTCGTTAGTGCGTTGGCTGTTGGCTGTTTGCTGGTTGTTGGCTCCATCCTATATATGGCACACTTACACACACACACACACTGACACATCCACCCACATGGGCAAGTGTGTAACTGGGACAGCCTCAGCTTTATTATTCCGAGGCTCATAAAAGCTTAGATCTGAGATTTGGGACTTGGGATTACGAGTCTGAATTATTCAAGGCAGCATATAGAGTAGAATCAGCATAGAGCTTTAGTTTTAGCCAGATTTAGTAGGGAAGAGTTTTGCAGGGTGGTGTGGAAGGCAAGGGAAGGGAAGGTCAGGTAAGGTAAGGGTTATTATCGCTGGTTCCGGAGTTGCTGCAACTCAGTTGGTTATCGGAGTTTGAGTACAAAGCATCTACTGCGTTAGAGGGTGGCTGTGTTTTAGGGCTGTTCTACTGTAGTGTCGCTTCGACTCACCTCAAAACAGCATTCCGCATATATGTATATGTGTGTGTTTTTTTTTTTTGCAGTTCTAATTACTTATTTATTTGTAGTGGGGTGGCAGCAGCTAGGTCGTTCGTACTGTGGCTGGGGGAGGGGTTGTTTATTCTCGCTGCTGTCCAATTATAATGGCGATGATGTATGAACAGCTCGTTAGATGGGCACACAAAAGTGTTTCACTTGCCAGGTGTCGTCGGTGTCGCGGAGTTTCCTGTGTGTGCTTTGTTTTCGGAGTATGCGGATGCACGTCAAATATTAATTAGTCGATACCGAAATGGTCTTTGGCCGAAAACAATACATCGAATAACGTTTGCACAATTTAAGCGAACATTTATCACGATTCGTATTCGTATTTGTTGTATTTGTATTTGAGTTTTTGATTTAGCTTTTGCTTTTGCTTATTTGCAATGCGCACAAAATCGTCGATTTGTGTGGGTTGTTGTCGACTCCGAGAGCAGTTGAATGGACGTGCCGATGGTCGGTTCGAATCACTGGGATTGCCACTAAAAGCCACCTTTTGATCGTTGTTGTTGTTGTTTTGGGGGGGAGTCTGGGTTTTCGTGGAGGATGGAATCCGGAATCCTCTTCAGTGGGGTGTTGGGTTGTTGGCAGATGGGCGCTGGCCAGTTCGTTGGTTGCTGCTTGTGGGCTGTTTACTAGGCTCGAACGCGACGCAGTTTCGTTTTTTTGTGGATCGGCAATAAGCGGTCGCGGTCACGTCTGAGAGGCGACTGAAGCCAGCAGCCCCAGCCAGTTGATGGGGGCTCAGCACGATCTCTGCCGCAAAAGAGAACGCAAATCGAGAGATCGGCAGAGGCAGAGAGAGAGAGAGATCCAGCACGAGCTTAATGAGCCGAAGGCAGGTAAACAAGTGCCGAATGTGACGAAGGTGGCAAGCAAGGTGCATTGGTGTATGTGAGGTGAGAAATTGCCCCTCTCTCTCAGCTCGACACAGATTGAAGCTGCTGCCAAATGTGAATGTAACAGCAAGGTGCTCTCTGGCAATGGCCCCACCGTGTATTGATACACCTTGATAGCAAGTAGCCGGCATTTCGAAAGCCCCCATACAAAGAGACAGACAGATAGAGAGACAGAGTGAAAGAGAGAGAGAGAGGGATTCAAAGAGCGAACGAGAGCAAGTTTGTGTTCTAGACTCTTTCGTATGAATCGAGTGCGAGTACGATTGCGAGTACTTGGGGGGGAAGCTTTGCGCTGCGGGTAGTGGAAACAAGTGAAACCAGATCGCCCAAACATTCTTGGGATGTTTTCCTACGTGCCCAGGCAAATATGAAAATATGGCCAGAGTCGGCAGATGATATTCCAGTTTGGACTGGCTACTGTACGCTGGCAAAGCAGTGACCCTAGCCCACCTAGCCCACCCCCCGCTGCCGTTCCTCCCCTATAAAGGCCACACCCACTCATCAATCACTAGTCATTAAGGCCCAGCACTAATTAATTCATCTTCTAGATACGACAGCCATTCGGATCTGCGGAACAGGGCGCTAATCTTTGGGTAATAAAAACCATTCTCGTCATGTGTCGGGAACAAAGCGTAAAATGTTGCCACTCGGGTCGAGAACTCAACGCGAGAATCGTCTCTTTTGGGGAATTAATAAACAGACGAGTGTATATAAAAATGTGAGTGAGTATATGCTGAACACACTTGAATATTTGAATATCACAGTAATTAATCAAAAGATCTGGGAATAAGCGAAATACAAATAAATCCTCGATCGTCATCGTCGCCGCCGTCGTCGGTCAAGAAACTATAAAGCACCCAGCTTGGAGTGAGACCACGTCCACATTGATACACACATACACTCCTTTTCCCCTCACCCATCCCGCCAAGGAGCCCATTTAGGCTTAATAAAGTTGTCAACGCACGAAACTGGCGTGTGAAGAGCCCCCAGACAGCAGGCCAGCTCTTTTTCGCTCGCAGCCAACACACAAACCACACAAACTCCTCTCCGTTGTCCGCTGATGGTCGCAATTGACAACATCGAGTGTCCCGTGGGCTTAACGATTCTCGTTTTGCATTCCATCTTTCGAGTGTTTAATTGTGTCCACTGCATAACGGTAAAGCGAAGCGAATGCCCTGCCACATTTCCCCTCCTGCCACAGTGTAGTATCATCACTTCATGAATGAAAATCATAAGCGAAAAGCTTACTTTTCCCCTGAGCTTTGCTTTTCTGCGGTGCTTTTGGCCCGCGCTGGTCGCGAATGAAGCCAGCCAAGTGCCAGAGAGCCAGAGAGCTTTTGTGCGAAAAGTACATTTTCTCTAGCACACATTTTCCATTCAGTTTGTTGTTCCTGCCGTGTGCGGTTTGAGTTTCGGGCCCTGGCGGCCGTTAGCAAACATTTTTACACTTTATTAATTGCATTAATTATTGTTTTTGCCAAAGTGTTGGTAGCGTTTTTTATTGAACGAGTTGCGGGCGTAGGACAATTATTTTGGGTTGATTAGTATTCAGAAATGTGTGTCAAAACAAATAAAGGGGAATGGCATCACTAGCTCAAGCCCCAAAACTGGGTCCCCCTGTGATATAAGTGTCGATGGCAATAAAAAGCTTGGAGACAACATAAAGGCGAGAGGAAGGAGCTTTGCCCTCGCTGGGTCGGTCCATCAGCTGACTTCAAGCAACAAACAACAAACGGAGATAGACGCTCGCGCTAAAAATACTCAAAGTTCATGGTCAACGTCCTGCGGAGGGGAGGTGGGTGAAATTTGTTGGTGACATCTAACAATGGCTTTGCTTCGCTGCTGCTTTGAGCCGCCGGAATTGCCGGAGTTCTTCGACAGTTTCGTGCAGAAATGCACCGATCCCAGTTGTGAGTATCTATAAAATCTGATCAAATATAAGATTAATGTTAAAACCAGTTTTGAAAATGAAACGGTCAACTTTACACCTTTTGGCAGTGGTGCCAGATCGTAGAACTCTCCAAGCTAAAGCGGGCAGAATTAAACTTTGAAAGTGTAAATTGGCTAATATAATTTAGCTGTTGGTGTCGATAACATCGTTTTTGTTTTTCTGCTCCTGTGGCTCATGCTATTTCTGTCTAGCAGTATTTCAATCTGGTGTCATACGACCATCAATCTAGTATTTTCCGTGTGCTCAGGAGTATTTTGTGGCTTTTCCGCTTTGGTCACACTAGTTTTCTGCGATATCGATAGTTCATATTAATCGAATTGGGCATCCAACAAAAATCAACAACAAACACAACACAGAGCAGAGCGTAGCGTAGCTCTTTTATCGTTTTATTATCTAATGCCGCGATAAAGGCCACCGAAGCAAATTACGCCTTTGGTGCATAGAAACGCTGACATGCCTGGTAAGCAATCGGGAGAGAGCCAGGTGAAAAGCGCTGCCTGGCGTGATAAAGGCCATTGAGAACGACCATTCTGACCTCGACACCAAAGTGAAGAAAATGACGCCACCAGGTGTCTGATTGGGGCCGGCCCGAATCGATGGGAAAGTCGTTGGGGGAGTGGGAGCAGACCGGAAGGGTTATATTATGATGGAACAGGCAAATATCGCCGAAGAGCGATGAAAAGAGCAATCACTCAACGTGACACAGACTCAGACACACACACACATACGCGCACACAGAGGCACGCGACAGCTGGCAATCCGAACAGCAAAACTCTAGTCGGCTATAGCCATTATCGCGATAAGATTACAACGGAAAATGGTGGTCGCACCCATTCGACCCGACCCAACCGAGCACCACCCGCTGACTGCTGCCGGGTAGGCGAGTCGCCACTTCCAGGGGTCGCTACCAGTAGTCGATTTTCGCCAACTGCTAAACACGGACCACTCCGATGACGTCGCATCGTCGTCGTCGCTATGTTTACCTACCGCTGCATACGCATCTGTCTTCCAAATCCCTCTGATAGCTGTGCCTTTCCCTGCGCTCTTCTAGGTTGCTGCGGGTGCTGCTCGGCGCTGCGGCCGCGCTACAAGCGACTGGTGGACAACATCTTCCCGGTGAACCCGGAGGATGGCCTGGTCAAGTCGAACATGGAGAAGCTGACCTTCTACTCGCTCAGCTCACCCGACAAGCTCGACCGCATTGGCGAGTATCTGTATCAGAAGGCCACCAAGGACATTAACCGCAAGCGCTACAAGTGAGTAAAACCTTTGGGGATCTGCTGTTTGTCATTGTCATTGAATGTGTTTGCTTCTCTTTTTGGTTGCCCTTGTAGGCTGGCAGAGATCGCCATGGAGGCCATGGACTTGCTGCTGCAGGCCTGTCACGCCCAGACGACGCTCAACCTGTTCGTGGAGTCGTTCCTGCGGATGGTGCAAAAGCTGCTGGAGGATAATAATCCGAATTTAAAAATCATGGCCACCAATTCGGTAAGTAAATATGAGCCGGGGTCTGTCCAGTCTGGTCTGGTCTGGTCCTATGCTAATCATTTTTAATCCTTGCAGTTTGTGAAGTTCGCCAACATAAACGAGGACACGCCCTCGTACCATCGACGCTACGACTTCTTCATCTCGAAGTTCTCGTCGATGTGCCACAGCGAGGGCAAGGATCTGCGGGATAGCCTGCGGCTGGCCGGCATCAAGGGACTGCAGGGCGTCATACGGAAGACCGTGTCCGATGATCTGGTCGAGAACATCTGGGCGGCTCAGCACATGGAGAAGATTGTGCCCTCGCTGCTATTCAATATGCAGGTGAGAAGAATGTCCCCTCCACCCCCACCCTTGTATCTGCCGATCCAGAGGAGCAGATGGATCACTGGATCCCGGCCATTTCAATTGGATTGGTTAATGAATCAAAATTGCTGCGACTTGAACTAATTTCGATATACTATTCTGCATTTCGTTTTCGTATATTCTGTTAATGCAAACCAAACCCTAACCAACCAATCAACCAACTAATCAACCAATCCACAACACAACCAACACACAACAACATGAAACAGTTTTGTGTAAACGTTATGTTCGTGAAGAAAAATTTACTGGCGGTAATAATTACTATAATCGAATCGAATACTAGCATTTAATTAGCACCAGCACCAGCACCATGAGCTGTGGACTAGCGTCCAGCGTCTGTGCGAGTAGTTTAGTAGCTGAGCTGATAAGATGAAAATTCTAACCGGTGCCGCCTGACTCTAACATATTTCTGTATCGCCCGCCGCAGTCTGGCGACCTCACGCCCGTCGAAGATGCCACCAATGTGACGCCACCAGCACTGGCCGAGGAAGTGCTGCGGGAGCTGGTCGGACGTGCATCGTTCGGACACATTCGGAGCGTGCTCAAGCCGCTGCTGACGTAAGTAGCCACTAACGAAGCATAACTATCAGTGCTATCAAAATGGGCTCAATCAATATTTACCCTCGCAATCGCACAGTCACCTCGATCGGCATGAACTGTGGGTGCCCAACACCTTTGCCATTCACACGTTCCGCATTGTGATGATCTCGATCCAGCCGCAGTACTCGTACACTGTGGTGGAGACGCTCATGCAGCACCTGGACAGCAACTTCAAGTCCTCGCCCAAGACGCGCACTTCCCTGGCGGTGGTGCTGTCGAAGATTATTGCCATTGCGGCTGGCGAGAGCGTGGGACCCTCGGCCCTGGACATCATCAACAATCTGCTGACCCACTTGCGCACGAGCGTGAGCACCACCACCGAGATCACCGCTGAGGAGTCTCAGTACCAGGAGGCGCTTATAAATGCGTTGGGCGAGTTTGCCAACCATCATCCCGACTACCAGAAGATCGAGATAATGCTGTTCATCATGAACACGGTGCCGGACCCCTCCAAGAAGAGCAAGGGCGACCAGATGCTGCAGAACATTCTGCTCAAGTCGCTCCTCAAGGTTGGCACCCAGTACAGCACGGTGTCCTTCGAGAAGGCCTTCCCCGCCTCGTTCCTGCAGCCGCTGCTGAAGATGGCCCGCGCCCCCCATGATCCCACTCGCCTGATTGTCATGCAGATCTTCCAGGCCCTCCTAGATCGCCATCAGAACGATCAGGTGCTCAGTAGTGTCAGTGTGAAGCAATATCCGGCGCTTTCCCAGGAGCCGCCCTCGCGCTCTGACATCATTTTCACGCACAAGCACGGAGCCCACATTATGCAGGCGCTCATCGATAGCATGGCCCTCTCGGACCGCGTCGACGCACTGTCCGCCAGCTACAACACCGCCGCCCTGCTCATCGTGGAGATGTCCAGCAGCGAGACAGTGCAGGAGTTCCTGCTGTTTATCCTGGGGTGAGCTCCAATCATCCAATCAAGCTGCTTTAATCTAAACTAAACTCACGTTCTCCCTCCCATCTTTAGCATTCAGGAGGTGGCCAACACAGTGGAGTCCTTGGGAGCCGTGCACAAATGCAATCTGCACGCCATATCCATTGCATTGCTGGTGCTTATCTCGCGAGTCAGTGGCATCAACAACCTGCTGGAGTATGCCCAGAAGATTGTCGATGCGCGACGCGAGGAGGCCACCTACTATCTGCCCCCGCTGCTGGAGACGAAGAAGGTGCCATCGAAGAGTCTGAATCTGTCGCTTCCACACCTGGCCATCGACAAGCTAGCGCTGGGCGAATGTCTGCAAAATGCTGGCATGGAAGCCCAGCGTCTCAATACAGGCGCTCCCTACACGCTCAATCAAACGGACCATCCCGGCCATCGCCATTCCTGGGTGGAGTCGGTGAGCTCCCATTTGACGCAGCGCAACAGCTCGGCGGATCTGACGGTCTACAATGGGGATGTGGACAGTGTGAACAGCTCGCCGGGCGTGTGCAAGAAGATACTGGCGCCCGAGTTCAATTTCGACGCGATGAAGAGGGCCCTCGCCGAGCCTACGGAGGCCGCCAAGCGAGAGCAGCGCGAGCGACAATTGCAGATCGTTCGCACCTTCCGCGAGGGCGAGTTCGATGATCTTGTGAGACGCACAGAACCGAAGGTAATTCCCATCCCTACCCACTCATTTATGTGAACCAATGCTTATGCATGTTCACTTTTTGGTTTCTTTTTCTATTTACAGCACGATCTCATCCAGAACCGCCTCAACGAGCTGTTCAACTCGCTGGCCGTGGAGCGTCAGATAACACAAAGCGACAGCAAGGTGGCCCAGCTGCAGGCCAGCAACGAGAAGCCCATTTACGAGACAAACTTTCCAGAATTATTCTATTACTAATCTGTATTACTGTGAACCCCCTCCGGCGAATATTCTGTACTCCATTTATGCATACGAAGATATGGTAGCTGCGAAAGCGAATTTGTTTGGTGTCAGTAGATAAATTTAATTAAATTTTCCGTTGTTAAATACTAACAATTAAATTGTTCAGACCTTAAATGCCCATACATGTACGTATGTCCTTTGCATTAGTTGTTATACAAATACAATACTTATTGTATGTTGATTTAAATTCTCTATTTTAATAATGGAACGTTGTGATACAAAATGTAGTGGTTCAGCCTCTAAGACGACCTCAACTTGTGGCTCGGCCAAACAGTCGAAATGCTCGTTAAGTAAACTGAAAAACTTATGCTGCAAACCAAAGCCTGCTGAGGAAGTGGGCGGACGCAATCCTTTCCTCAGGTATCTGGCTCACTTCAAGAAGTGCAACAAGGAGAAACTCTGCAATCTACAAACAACGCAGATAGTGATAGCTGCCAGCAAGGAGTGGAATCGCATGACCTGTGAGGAGAAGTCGCCCTACGTTCAGGCGGCGCGTAACGCGAAATACATGTTTTGGTCGCGCAGCAAGGACACCAACAGAGTTCTGGGCAAGTTGCGCGAAATGGTGGGATGTGCAAAGCCGCAGATGCAAGAACCCTTTAAGTTGATCGGCGATCTAGACTCCTGGCGGCAAAACGTCCTGGACGATGTGTTTGACGTGGGGGAGGATGGGGACTGAGCAGTAGTACACGAATTCGGAATTAGTCTGAAATAAATTTAGTCGAGATAATTTTTTCTGATCTTCAGGTGTCGGCAAGACCCTATCTAATGTGCATAGGAAAAGGTCTCCGATCAGCGCAGTCTCAACATGCTGTAAAAACTTCCCATAAGGAAGATCTGTTTTTATTTGAGAATATGGATGGTGGTGCGCATGGGGCTCATATATAGCCGATATATATATATCCAAAGAAAAACTTCAAATTAAACCATTCTTCATTATGGCGAAAACTAAACTCGTCTATCCAGACGAAAAGAAATGGCAGAAAGCTAAAAGTATGCAACACAATTTTTTTATATATTAGAGCAGAAAAAAACTAGATTCATATTTAAGATATCAGGCGAACAGAAATCAGCAGAAGGTCGCTGGTTTGTTGTCCAGGATGGGGGTAACTCAAAACAGCATAGAAACAAAATTACGTACATCAGTATGAACATACATACATATGTACCTTTGTAAGTTACAAACTTCCGAACAATTGTTGACCAGTTGACGTCAGCCCTTGCTAACATTGATCACTTCATTTTATGTAGTCTTTAGGTTATGGAAATGAACAAATTATACAGAAATTAGATATTTTCAAAGCTCAATGATTAAACTAGCATTCGAATACCAATCATTTAGTTGCACATTGGAATTAGTAGATGTATAATTAAGCTTTTATCTCTTGTTGTTTAGAGAATGCTCAATGTGCATAAACTTAATTCGGATAAAGCACGTCGTATCAATAAAAAAAAAAAGTCCCTTGAGAGTGAGAGCTCTCTGTTCTCAAAGCTGACTCACGTGCGGGGATCTATGCAAAGCCACAGTGATCATTGGATATCGACACTTTTTTTTAGATACAAAAATGATCCATACACAATGCGAATCAAATTAATTTATTTAAATTGGTTCACTGTGTTGTTAGTCCCTCCTAGCAGTTTGGAAGAATCGTAAGATGATAAGAGTTCAGTTCACTGTAGGAGTGAATACTTTTTGTAGATTCATGAAATCTTAATGGGGTTTCCATGCTAAGAGAGCGGCTGCTACATATAAATGTCGTCACTTTATCTGAAATCGCGCCCACGCTCGTATCAAGAAACGTAATGAATTAAACTCAGTCTCAGTCGAGTGGCAGAGATGAACGAGGAACCGCATGCCCATGAAAAGCTTGTGGCCAAGGCAAGGCGACATGATCCTGAAACTGCCAGCAGTAGCAGCGCGGAGAGCCAAATCAGTTCCGTAGAGGCAGCTATTGCGGCGGACCCTTCCCACGGGGAGCCATCAGTCGTCCAACCGATGACTATCTATCTGCTGGAGCCCTTTATATTGATTCTGCTATTCGGCTACAATTTCTCGTGTAAGTGTTTATCTGCTTGGGAGGCCCTCTCACAGTACTCCCTCGATTGCAGCCACCGTATTGAAGAACCAAATAATCTATCAAAGCTGCACGGCTGGATTCGGATACTCGGATAAGGTCTGCCTGCTCCTGGGCACCAAGAATGCCACAAACGAGACGAAGAGAATCGAAGAAGAGGTGCAGCCCTATGCAGCTCGGGTCGTTGTAGTCATGACGATTGTGGAGTGCATTATTCCGGCGTTCTGTGGCCTCTTTGCCGGAGCCTGGGCAGATCGCTACGGACGCAAGCCGCTCTTGATGTGCTCCTTTCTGGGTAAGTGCCTCAGTCCACACAGATCTCGCAGTCTCATCTTTGGCGACAGGCTACGGCCTGCAGTATCTGATTTCAGCTGGCGTTGCCTATGCAGCCATCCACAGTGATGGAATGGTCAGCCCCTGGTGGTACGTGCTGTCGATCGTCCCCCTATCGTGCCTGGGCAGCAGTGTCACCTACTCCGTGGCCGCCGTATGCTTTATAGGGGATGTGTCCGAAGGAAAGGTTCGATCATACAGGTATCTAAGCAGTCTGACCAAAGTATTTCCAGTAAGAATATGTTCTCCCTTCCAGAATGATTGCCTATGAGCTGGCCATATATGTGGGTCTCCTCCTGGGCAGCTTCGGCTCTGGCTACGCTTACGAGGCTACCAATGCGTACGTTGTCCTGAGCATATCCGCTTGCTTCATTTTCGTTGCTCTATTTCTGATGATCGCTCTGCTGCCAGAGAGTCTTCCCAGAAGGGAGCCCCTTGCATCATCTGCTCAGGCGACAGAAGACAGAGATGTGCTTGCATTGCTGAGGGATTTGTGGACCAGCTGTAGCAGACACCGCGCCTTCAAGGATCGCTCCATTGTGATCCTGGTTATGTTGGTCTTGATGCTAGCGGCCTTTGTCTCTGGTGAGTGTTTTTCCCAAACTGGTATAGCGATGACTCATCCGCCACCTGCAACCTTACACAGCTGGCAGCAACTCGGTGTTCTACATGTTCATGAGAGCCAAGTTCCATTGGACCGTGAAGGAGTTCACCGAGTACGAGTCGGTCAGCATCCTGGTGCCTGCTGTGGCTGGTTCTGGCGGCATGCTATTCATTTGGTCCCTGCGAAAGGTGAGTTTGGCTCTGGGCTTGACTGCAGGACAACTCATTGGGGGGCTATCATCTATCTTTGGCAGTGCACCAGCTCGGCGATTCTCTGGCTGGCCATCATCTCACTCCTGAGTCACTCGACTAGCAGTCTGATGCAGTCCTTGGCGGCGGTGAGCTGGCAAATCTATGTCGCCATTGCCTTGGGCGTATTCAAGTCCCTGGTGAATCCCATGTGCCGCACCATTATCACCAATCTCTTGCCGGCCGCAGAGAGAGGTAAGAATCAATTTCATTCTTATATTTAATTTAGATCGATGATAATTCTTTAATTTCCGCTTCCAGGCAAAATCTTTGCTCTGCTGGGCATACTGCAGACACTATCCCCGCTGATATCCTCGAGCCTTTATTTTGCGATCTACACCCGGACATTGGACAGTGATCCGGGGATATTCAATCTGCTAAGTGCTTGCCTATACGGCCTTGGGATAGTTCTCCTCATGTATGTTCCTTCATATTTAATTAACTCTTTCACTCCATTAGTTTTTATTGTCTATGCCAAATCGTTTTCAGTGTTGTGTGGCACAAAAAATCTACAAATCGGGCGTACTACGATCCGATTTTCAAGTGAATCAGCGAATCTCTTGTGGTTTTAGGCCACAGCTAAAATATATCTGCCAATATCTGCCAGTCATTCCAAACTTTCGAATATAAATATACACAGAAATGCTAGCGCCGGGTGCTCCCCCCAAAACGGGATATTACCATAACAAATACTCAGCCATAAATCAGTTGGTACCTACTTATTTGCATATTCGAGCTGAACAGTTGAAATGTGTTAATTTGGCAACTACCCATCATTCGACATCGATCTTTCCCTCTGTGCGGTGGAAATTTTTGTATAATTAAAAAACTCATAACAACGATTTTCCCATTAACAAATATGTGGGTTATTATACATATATAGCACCAAAATGTTGCGGCGTGTGCGGTGTCATTTGACACACCTGACGGATCTATAAACATATTAGGAATATGTACATATACATACATATGTACATAATGTGTGCACAATATAGCAACGGAACTCCCCATCGATTGGTGCTAACTCTAGCTTTAATCAAATACTAATTTTGTTTTGCTAATTTTAAATTAGTCGCCCAGTTTTTTACACCCTTGATTAAGATCGGCTGAGAGCGCCCAACCAAAACAATACACATGCTACATACATATATTTAGAAGAAATTAAAATAAAATGCTACTCATTTTGATGCCCCAACAGAGCGCAACGAAATCCCTGGAATTCAGCATGGCAAGCATCATTGCCATCAAATGAATTTAAATTAATATTTAACCATCGTCCAAAAATTATGGCCAAAAATAACTAGGCACGTTATAACCGATATAACCGATATCACAAGATACAAATAGACTATACCAAATCTATATAAACACATACATACATACGAGTATGTGTGTATTTATGTAGCTATAAATATTATTTACCGATCTAAACAAAATCTTGGATCATCTCTGAAAATCTTGAACTTCTTTAACTATTAAAGTGAACACCCATCATGAGTATATTAAATAAATAAAAGAAAACATAAACACATTTGTAATGTGTGTTATTTAGACCAATTCGAAACAAGACCTGTTTGTTATATCCGTAATTTTCCAGATTCAATTTCTTGGATTACCAAACTCCAAATGCCAGATTTATCAAAGGTCTGGCTCGTGCTACTCATTTGCACGAATCAAAAATAGGTGAAAATAATTATTAATTAATGCAAAAAGAAAACAAGCAAACAAACAACAGGCACAGACCCCGAGTCTAACTTCAGTTTCAGTTAAACTTTTGGACTACAGTTGGGTTGATAGCGAAACGAAAAACTTAAAATAAATCTGTCGCGCGTCGAACGGAGTCGAGTCGAGTCGAGTCGCATTTGTCCAAGTCGTTCTCTGGACTCTGGTATTGTAGTGGCGTAGAGTGTATAGTTTCACGTGAACGGGGAATCGAGATATCCCATTTTATTTTTATAGACTTAGATGAACAACTGTTCATCTGTTTAGACTGTTTCGCAGTGTACACATGTACCTGTTCCGATCCGGCTGTTTGTTGCTATTGCTTTTTCGTGAGTCTATATAAAGCTAGGGATTTCGCGGCAGCAGCTCATTTCGAGAATCAAACTCTAATTGTAATTTGTTTGCCGTCGTCGTCGTGGTTGGATGTACATAGCTGCTGTCGTTGTCGTTGTCGTAGTCGCTGCCCAGTTTCGTGTTGGTTCAGTGAATACAAACGGCTGATGGGTATCCACATCCACAGCAATCAAAGCGATTGAATAATAATAATAGCATAATATTAGCGTGATAATCTGATCGGAAGTGGCGAGGGATTTTCCTCCACAAAAACTCTTACGTGACAAGAATTGAAAATGTGCAACAAGCGCCACTGAGCCAGGCCTTGATCAAACTAAATACAAACCGAAATACAAAAATATTGAACTGAACTGTGCAGCCCATAAATTTGGCAATACAAAACGGACAAACATGGTTGAGAAGGCCTCGAATGCGTTTACGCTGGAAAAGCTCCGCAATCTGCAGTGGGGCAAAGTGTTCAATCTGTTCTATATAGAACCGGTTGTCTTCATGCTGCTCTTCTCGCACACGCTCTCTGGTGAGTGAACCTGCCCCGGAACGGCACGCAGATTACTCTAACTGTACAGCTATCGCGTTTCCAAATTGTAACCGACCACAGGCACCATCCAGCGCAACCAGGTCATCTACCAGACGTGCACAGTGATATTCCACTACAACGAGTCCGACTGCAAGCAGCTGGACGTTAAGAACGCCAGCGCCGAGATAAATGTGTGTACAGCTCTCTCTGCATGGGGGGAAATAGGTTTCGTTTCCATTGATTACTTGGAAACGGAGCGCATTCCCAGACCAAGCCAGACCAGACCGATATTCGATATCTACTGACGACTTCCTTTCCAGGCCATCGAAACGGAACTGCAGCCGTATGTGGCCAATCTATTCCTCTCCCGGACCCTGCTGGAGAGCATTGTGCCGGCCTTCTGTGGCCTGTTCATCGGCTCCTGGTCGGACCACTATGGCCGCAAGCCGCTGCTGATTGTCTCGATGATTGGTGAGCAGAGAATCGCTGGCTGCCCAGTGGGATTTCCCAGTTAATTTCTGGTTCACATTTAGGATTTTCCGCATCCTTCCTGATGATGGCCGCCATCTGTGAGCTGTCCAGCTACTACGTGGTCAATCCCTGGTGGTACATTCTGGCGGCGGTGCCTCACTCGCTGCTGGGCGGCAACTGTGTCTTCTCTGTGGCCGCGTTCTGCTTCATATCGGACATAACGGACTGCAAGACACGGCCCTACCGCATGATCTTCATGGAGTCGCTCTTCTTCATTGGACTGACCAGCGGCTCGCTGCTCTCCAGCTTCGTGTACGCAGGCGTTGGAGCAGCGGCGACCATAGGTCTCTCCGGCTGTATTTCCACCTTCGCCACGCTGTTCATCATCTTCTTTGTGCCCGAGAGTCTGCACATTCGCCAGGCACAAGATGCGAAGAATGCCACTGCCCTCAAGGGTGACACGGTAAAGGATATGCCGATGACAGCCTGCGACCTGCAGCTGGACTGCGTGGCCATCGATTGCCCGCCGAACATCCTAAACGATGAGCAGCAGGAGGAGAAACCCAAACCCTGCGAGCTGCCCACACCGGCGACGCCTGCCATGAGCTTTGACGAGGACATGCTGGCCAAGTACGTGGAGCGGCTGCCCGAGCGGGCCAAGAAGGCCAGGGACGAGGCGGAGGCGGCGGAGCGCATCAAGAAGGCTGGCCTATTCAGTTTCGTCCACATCAAAGATATGATTAACACCTGCTTCAAGCCCCGCGAACATCATGCTCGCGCAATTATTTGGCTCGTCACACTGGCCATGTTCCTGTCCATTTTCGTCTTTGGTGAGTTTTCTGCGCAGTTCTCCCAGACCTTATGTTCCATTATATAACGCTCGCTTTCAGATGGCGTGATGACTGTAATGTATTTGTTTGTGCGCGAGAAGTTCCACTGGACGGTGAGGGATTACACATTCTTCGAGACGGTCAGTCATCTGGTGCCCATGATTGGAGCCCTCATCGGTTTCCTTGTCCTCCGAAAGGTACACAATTTGACTTGCCCAATACTTTTTTGCACAATGCTATGGATCTGAGCTCTCTTTTGTTTGGCCCACAGGTATTTCGCCTGTCGGTGGTTACGCTCGGCCTGCTGGCCTTCTTCTCGGAAATTCTCAACAATCTGGCCAAGGGCTTTGCCACAATGCCCTGGCACATGTACCTCTCAGTATCGCTGGGCGTCTTTCGCTCCATATCGGGACCCATGTGCCGGACCATTGTTTCGAATATCGTACCGCCATCGGATCTGGGTAAGTGTCGCCAATATCCGCGTATACGTATACGTATCACAGCTGTTTTTTGTAACACCTCATTGCAGGCAAGATTTTCTCCATTAAGAATGTTTTGCAATCGTTTGCACCTTTTGGTAAGTCACTCGTCCCTCTGGTTTCTGGTTTCTGTTTTCGGCTTTCTACTTTCTGGTCCAGTAATTGTGATTGTGATTGAATTATTGTGTTAACATTTATTACTTCTAATCGCAGTTGCCGCCCCGCTCTACACGCTAATCTACAAGCAGTCCCTCACCACATACCCGGGCCTGTTCAACTTTGTCAGCGCGTTCCTCTACCTACTCTCGTTCGTGTTCATCGGGTAAGTGTCGCTGAATGCATGCGTAGTGGGGCAAACGTAAACGTAATGCCCCTTGGGGGCACTCGCTAATCGGTATTGTACATTCATTCCATTCCCCTAGATGTGTGTTGCGCATCAAGTTCAGGCACAAGCAGCACTACGCCAAGGTGCTAAAGTGAGGCACCGAACCGATCGATATATGCCTAAATTAACATGTGATCATATCTAAGTAATAAAACTTTACGAGTAGACCGAATTTAAATGCTGCAAATTCAGACAATTGCGTGTTTAATTTGTGTGGGAAGCGATCATCCAGTCAAACTGATCTTATCTTATATAAATACAAGTTTATTTAATTACATTTTAATATATTTTCTAAGATTATCTTAGGCTCACAGCATCACTTTCAATTTTAAACTGTATTAACACTCAATGCTTTTGTTCAAAGCTTCTTTGATGATTGATAGCACAGATCGATTTGGCACTTATCTACATCCTTAGTTTGCGGTCCTTGATCAACTTCCGAATGCCTGATAGGCAGCATTGCTGTCCATTGATTTCCGCATGCCAAAGACGGTGCTGCAGGCAAAAGAATACAAAAATGCAATCAAGGATATAAGCTGTGAGTTGATATCAGCTACTCACGCCGAAAAACAGTAGCACAGAAAGTAGAGGCCCACGCTGATGAAGTTAAAGGCTCCTGCATAGGACGCCACCGTGGCCTGGTATACGGCCGCGTAGAGCGGTGCAGCGCCCAGGGGAGAGAGCGATTGCAGCGAAGTGGTCAGAGAGAATATTTTACCTATTTCCGAGCTTGGCGTCAGCTGCGAGAGAATGGCCTTGCACATGGGACTCATGACACCGCGCAACATGCCCAGCACCAAGCCCAGATACATCTCCTGACCATGCACAGCCGTTGCCCGAACAGTGCCCTCCAGGACACAGCAACCGAACGCCAACAATGTCATCGTTACGATCGAGACCTTGAGCAGGCGTAGCAGCAGAACCATCGCGATAATGCTGCCCACCACCTGGATGACGATCCGCGAGGTGTTGAACTCGCTGTAGTCCGTGACATCCCAGTTGAACTCCTTCTGCACGAACATGTAGTTGACTGTGCCCTCGCCCTCTGAAATATTGACAGGCAAAGAGTCAGATACGAGCCATGCAAGTGCTGTAATATGAGTACTCTACCCATTGCGAAGATGCTCAAGGTCAGGGACATCATAACCATCCAGATGATGGCCCTATCGTAGTTCTCACGCTTCTTGCAGCAGGTCATCACCAGATTCTTGACCAGATCGAAACGGAAGAACCCACGTATCCGTGACTAACAAAGGGAAGAAATTCGGTGAATATCACAAATTCAAAAAAGGAATATCCTTTATCCTGTATCCTTTATACGCACCTCAGACTGCAAGTTCTCCGGCTTGAGACTCTCGGGCACAAGGAAGATGATGTAGAGCAGGGCTACGGCTATGAGGGAACCCACTAGGATGAAAAGCGTCGCAGCACCGACTCCGGCATATATATAGCCGCCGGCCATGCTTCCCGCCATCATGCCCAGCCCTAGGGACGCCTCCATGGAAACCATTCGCATGGCTCGCGCGCTCTCCGTGGCCACATCGGATACGTGGCAGTACAGGACGGTGACGAGGGCACAGGTTCCACCGCTGAACACCGACGGCACCGCGGCGAGCAGGAACCACCAGGGATTGATGTTTGTGACCGCCGCTATCTGGGTTAGCACGATCAGAATGCCTGCACTTAACAGGAAACCTGTAGCCAAGCATAGAATACCAGAATTACATATCAGAGTTACATATGTAGCTGCAGTAGAATCCGCTGCTTACCCGTGAATGTGGAGAGCAGTATGGGACGCCGCCCGAACTTGTCCGACCAGGGGCCGAGGAACAGACTCACAATGGCTGGAATGGTGCTCTCGAGGATGGCGTTGATCATCATTATGTTGGCCGCATACGCTTGCACCTGCGCCTCGATCTTCTGCAAGGGGAAATCTGTTTAGACAGGTATTATCTATTGCCGATAAGCATGACAGCGTCGTCACGGCCCCATTAGTCATAGCTTTTTGGTGGGGTCTTTGGCAGCGCACACACCACACACCACATACACCTACAATCAGCATATATATTCCAGTCGATATTTTAGTGATAAGTTAAGCCAATTACTCATAGTCATTTCGTGTTTTTTCTTTTGTTTTTGGCTACCACTGATAAGCCAGGCCAATTGGCCAGGTGAATATTATAAGTACATATGTATATATAAACATATGTACATATGTACAACATTGTCACTAATATGTATTATAATTTTAGAATGCTAGAGAGTCATAAAGATCAAACATTATGCACTCGTATTTTCAGATTCACTGATTAACTTGCTTTGTTAGTTCATTTCACTTGCGAGAGCAACACAAAACACGCTTTGTGTCGGTCCGGCTGCCCATCGTAGCATCGTTAGTGGAACGCCAATTGAAAATGCATTGCAAAACTTACTTTGACCTCATCCGAGGCACGATCTCTGCCCAGAAACGGCTCGCATTCGGTTTCATTGTGTTGCATGACAGTGACGCAGGTCTGGTAGAGAATCTGATTTTGATATGCCGCATCTAACAAATACACAATATTTATTTATATATGCTAGACCGTGTGTTTTCCAATAATCCGTACCAGTTAGAAATCTGCCAAAGAATACTAGAAAGACAGCGGGCTCCAGTATAAGCGATGGCAGACGTCTTGCCGTGGGTGGTGTAGGCGATTCACCAGATTCCAGTGACACGGCATTGTCATCAGTGTCTAAGACCAGGGGATCCTCGTCAGCAATGGACATTCTGTTCAATCGAAGGTCACGGCCAAATCGCACCAATTATCGCTAGCTAGACAAAGGAATTAGCAATTCATACAACACAGTATCGTAATATTCCACAGTCAAGAACGTTGAGCGTTGGCGTTCATGCTTCCGCGCGCGCCAAACTCTAGCGATACACTAACACTGGGGCGCAGCACATCGGAGCGCGACACGACGCCCGCCTCGCCTATCTCTGCCCGCCGCTCCACCCTGTCTCAGGCCGTATGGGCCCGGCCCCCCAATGTCTCGCACTTGCAATACGTACCAGATGTGAATCCGAAACAATCAAAATAACTTATGCTTAAATATGCTAAAAAGTTTATGTATTTATTTACAATTTATTGTCACGCAGCTGCGTACGGTTAATACGTCTTTGTGTTGTTTGATATTCGTACAATATAAGAGTATTGTACTTTATGTGTTTGCACTTGCCAAACGCAGTCGAGATAGCAGTGCCAGTTGCAGTTGCACACAAAAACAAATGGTAAGAGGAGAGATAAAAATCATAATAATACTACTACTTGCACAAGTCGCTAATCAACGAATATAAAATACAAAAATACTCGTAATTTCTAGGTGTTCACATTGGGAACCGTCGCGTCGCAGCAATCACATACACATCTACCCACAGATTTAATTGGTCTTTTGAGATACATTCAACTAAGCGGAGCGAGGAGCAGCCGGCTAACTGCCAATGGCCTGATACACACTGCTGCTGCCCATCGACTTCTGGATGCCGAATATAATGCTGAAATTTATGGTATTCAAATAAACAAACTATTAAATTCATCTTGCTGCTACTTACGCAATCAGCACGTAGCACAAAAAGTACAGGACAGCGCTAATAAAGTTGAATGCTCCGGGATAAAATTCCACAGTGGCTTTGTACACGGTCGTGTACAGGGGAGCAGCACCCAGCGGCGAAACAGACTCCATCGATGTGGTCAGTGCGAATATTTTGCCTAAACGGATATAATTGTTTTGGTTAATTGTTCCTTCACGGTCCGCTGACTTTGGGGGAGAACTCAGAACTTACCCACTTCCGTGCTGGGCGCAACATGGGACAGAATGGCACGACACATGGGTCCCATCACGCCGCGCATCATGCCTAATGTCATGCCGACATACATCTCCTGCCAGTAGACGGCCGTGGCACGTACTGTGCTCTCTAGAACGCAGCAAGCGAGCGACAGCATGGCCATGGTTATAATGGACAGCTTAAGCACGCGACGCAGCACCACCATGCCGACTATGCTGCCCACAATCTGGATGACAATACGCGAGGCATTGAAGAGGCTGAAGTCCTTGATGGTCCAATCGAATTGTTCGCGCATGAACATGTAGTTGACAGTGCCCTCACCCTCTGCCATATAGGAGAATTACAGTGATGGCATTTCTTTAGAACGAACTGCAGTTGCTATTCTTACCCATATCAAAGATGGCTATGGTCAGGGCAATCATAGTTAGCCAGATAATGGCACGATCAAAGTTGGGTCGCCTTTGGAAGCAGGTGCGGACCAGATCCTTGACCAAATCAAAACGGAAGAACTCGCGGATGCGTGACTAGGCGAAAGAGAAGAGATCTGTTAGATGGCTTGTCTGGCATCTCATACAGATGTAGCCTACTCCTGTGGGTATATGGTCGAGTACCAGGCTCTCGGGCACCCAGATATAGACATACATCAGCGCCAGGCCCATTAGGCAGCTGGCAATAAAGAAGAGGGTGAAAGCATCCGTTGCTGCATAGATATACCCGCTGGCCACATTGCCAAACATCATGCCCGTGCATAGCGAGGCCTCATTTAGGACCATTCTGGAATAGACAAATAAATAAAAAATTTAATGGATTCATTGAAATTACGCACTACGTACCTCATGGCTCGGTTGCGTTCCTTGGCCACATCAGAAATGTAGCAGTAGATACCCGTGATCAAGGCGCAAGTTCCACCGCTCAGAACCGAGGGCACAGAGGAGAGCAGGAACCACCAAGGGCTTATATTCGTGAACATTGTTATCCTGGTAATAATTATCAGTATAATTGAGCCCGTGAGGTAGCCTACAAGAAAAGATCGTTACAGTTTTACAGGGATTTGTACAGTGGCATACCACTTACCCGTGAAGGTTGTCAGGAGTATGGGCCGCCGGCCGAATTTGTCCGACCAGGGACCTAGGAATAGACTCACAAAGGCTGGTATTATGCTCTCTAGCAGAGAGGTCGTCATCATTATGTTTGCCGAATACTCCTGCACTTGAACCTCGATTTTCTGTAAGAAACAAAGCACAGCTGCTCATCACGTTTGTCTGACTCATTGCCGTGTGTCTCGTATCTAGGTATTAGCAATATAATTATATTTTGAATGCGCTCTTAAAGCTCGGTGGGTCAATATTTCATCGCCCCGATAGACAAATTAGTCATAAAGGTTTTCTGTATTTACTTCTGTTTCGCTCGCTGATAAGCTCTAGACGCCGTTCCCCATTTGTTGGCACTTGAGCGTTATCATCAATGTTCAAACAATGGGAACGATCGCCATAGGCAAATGCTTTGATTGATAGATTTTGCTTTGTCTTGGCTGATGCTGCACTAGTGCGTATGTGGGTCAAGTCTTTCGAACGTTTAGTAATCTCTTTTTACAGTTGGAAAAGTGAGGATTGAGAATGTCACGCAAAACGCCCCGCATTGAAGCATTTTTGCAACCAAACAACAGCAGATAAAAATGTTGAAAGCCAGACATTGGCACCGCAACAAAAACTGTGTCGCATTATCACAAAATATTATTTTGGTTTCAGAGTAATTCGCTTACTTTTGACGCCTCCGATTCATCGCGATTGATGCCCAGCAACGGCTCGCATTCCGTGGCATTATACTTCATGATGGTGACGCAGGTTTGGTAGAGGATTTGATTTTGATAAACCGCCCCTAAAAATACACAAAAAGTTAATTGAATGATGCTCGGCCAGTGCCCGTCTGTTTGTTCGCACCAATTAGGTATCTGGCAAAGAACATCAGAAATACTGCGGGCTCCAGGATGAACCAACGATAGCTGTTGTAGTCCAGCGCGGGCGGTAGGTGGGGCACCTCCTCGTCAGCGGAAGAGCTGCTCGCTGATGTTTTTTCCGTTGCAGCAGCATCCAGAGTGCGTGGCGCCTCATCATCGCTCACCACCAAGGGCTCCGTATCGTTGCGAGGCATCTTTCCCAGCCCTTTACTTTGTCGTTATCTCTCGGGTTTCGGGTACAAGGAAACGAACTGCACAGAATTTTCAAGCTATGGCAGATAAAGAAACTAGCAATTCATTCTGAACAATGATGCAGCGTATAGTATATAATCAGGCACAGACACGAAGGCGAGTTCTAAGCGCAACAGAGCGAAAACAGATACTGAAAGCTTCAGCTGCTGCGAAATGGCAACGTAAGCAGTTTATCGACATGTGCGTAGGGTAGTGACGTTACTTAATACGAGTATATGAATGCTAAAACATTAATCACACAACACACAAGAATAAAATCAATTATTCGGTACGATTATTTGTGCATTTCTTTTCAACTTTCTAAAATCCACAACAGCCCACAGCTGTTTCTGTTTACCACAACTTGCTGCGGGGGCGGCGCTGCCAACTTGGGGCAAATAAAAATACCGAGAGTTTGGCGGTTTGGGTGATTTTTAGTGGTCAATATTACAATTATTTCAATTATTTTTAATGGCGACGCCGGTCGCGCTCGTTTCGCGTGTCCCTCTCCCGCTGGTCGTGGCGGGAGCCATTATCTCGCTCCCGTCGCTCTCTTTCGCCATATCGTTCTCGCTCGCGCATTCGGTCTCGATCCTGGCGCTCTCTGTCCCGAATCTGGGGCTTTCTATCCCTGTCCTGGCGTTGATCTCTGTCCCGATCCTGGCGCTCTCTATCCCGATCCTGACGTGCTGCTGGCTGTCGCCGGTCCCCGTGCTGGGTGTCGCGATTGCGGGTGCGATTGCGCTGCCGCTCAAACTCCTCCAGTTCGTCGTAGTAGTCGCGAGATCGAGTATTGTTGCTCTGGGCTGGACGGCGGTCCCGCTCCCGGCTGCGCGACTTGGATTTTGAGCGAGCCCTTCGTGGTCGTCGTACAGATGAAGTCGAGTTTTCGTTCGTCCGATTCGCTTCTCGGTCGTCCGGCTTCTCATCCTCACTGGGTAGCTCGTCGTCCAGGTCTTCATCCAGGACCGACACCTTCGGTTCAATCTCGTTGTTCTCCTCGAGAATGGTGCGCTTCTGTATTCGAGGCAGTATAATGTCGCAGACGCGATCATTTCGCAGCAACTCATCTATGTACTCGTCCATGTAGACGATCTCGAACTGTCCGGCTCGATTTTGGCGTCTCAGCTTGCGGTTGTCGATGTACAAGGGCTCCAGATACTTGTAACAGTCGAGGGCGACGCCGGTGAGTCGCAGATAGAACGCGCCCAATGCACGGACATACTTGAACTCCTCGTTCTTGATGAACTCCACCACAATGTCCTTCTCCGGCTGAATCTGCAACATCTTCAGTGTGAGGCAAAGGAACTGCGTGGGCTTGATGTTTCCCCCATAGACGCCGCCGACAAATCGCAATTCCATGGCTTTGTCCACTAACAACTCGGCTGTGAGTGCAAAACATTGCTCCTTCCAGTACTTGGAGTCGTAGATGCGGGAACGTATGATCTTTTCGATGAGATACTGCGGATTGGTGCCGTGCACGTTTTTGGCCTCCTTAACTGTCCTGTTTGCCATTTTATTTGACAATTATTATTATTTTTTCAGCGTCGTGCACAGCTGCACGCCTGCAGATAGTATCGTCCACCAACAGACGATAGTGCGTGCGATAGTGAGCTATCGATATGTCGTGGTATCGTGATGACGCATCGCTATTCGAACAAGACAACTCGGCCAGACAGCAAAAAGGAGACGCAAAAAAGTGAAAAACCATACTTTAATCTAGGATTCCAGGGGCTTTGGGCGTGAAAACAGAAAAAACAAAGATGAGTTTCTTTGGGAAAATGTTCGGCGGCAAGAAGGATGTGGCCCCAACGACGGGGGAGGCAATACAGAAGCTGCGGGAAACGGAAAACATGCTCATCAAGAAGCAGGAGTTTCTCGAGGCGAAGATCGAGGACGAACTGAGTACTGCCCGAAAAAATGCATCCAAAAACAAAAGAGGTATGTACTCGTGTGGCTGCCATCCTGGAGCTACGCTGATGGAGATCCCCTGTGGCCGCAAATCAGCACCATAAATATCCATAGAAAAAATGACTCATATTTGCTTTGTTTTTGTTGTGGTTGAGGCCTTCCCAACCCCTCAGCCACTGCCATGCTAGACATGTAATTATGCTTGAATAGAATTATCTAGTATAACGATTGTATTTCTTCGCCTTTCTCACCCGCATACCATTTGATGCCTGGATGTGTCCGCATATGCTCAGAACGTAATATGAACATTCCTTTTGTTACTAAACCAGACATTAGTCATGCCGTAGAGTAATTCGATTCAAAATAATCAAAAATTGGCCTTAACATCTTAGCGAAACGTGCCACCTTTGCCCAAGACTCACCTGCAAACTTGTCGCCTTTTCAGTGGCCCTGCAAGCCCTCAAAAAGAAGAAGCGGCTGGAGAAGCAGCTGCAGCAGATCGATGGCACCCTGTCCACCATTGAGATGCAGCGCGAGGCTTTGGAGAGCGCCAACACGAACACTGCCGTCTTGACCACAATGAAGGATGCTGCGGATGCGCTCAAGAATGCCCACCAGCACATGTGAGTATTCATTCGACCATCGACCTGATGAGATGCAAAAACTAACGTGATTGTTTCACTTAATGCGCAGGGATGTGGACAAGGTCCATGACATGATGGATGATATTGCCGAGCAGCAGGATGTGGCCCGTGAGATATCCGATGCCATTTCCAACCCAGTCGCCTTTGGTGCCGATCTGGACGACGAAGATCTCGAGCGGGAACTCGACGAACTGGAACAGGAGAACTTTGATAAGGAAATCATTGGCATTCCCGAGCCAGCGCCCACATTGCCCGAGGCCCCCACAGAGGACTTGCCCGAGAAGGCCAAAGAGAAGAAGAAGGCCACAACTACGACTAACACTACAACCACAGCTGAAGCGGCCGATGATGGTATGTATTGTCGATGTCTTGTGTATGCCTTCATATCATCACATTGTAACTCGTTTAATTTCATTTTCAGATGATCCCGTCATGAAGCAACTTTTGTCCTGGGCCAACTAAAACGAGCGCTATTGAAATCTCTTCACTGTTCTGCAGGTTAACCAAAATCCGCCACGTTTCTGTTTTGATTAAGAATTTTTGATTCAAGAATGTTAATTAAGTGAAATTTTTAGTTTGAAGCGAGGAAGAGTAACTAACGAGAAGGCATTAATTCCTTTGGCAATCTATCAATCAAATGGTACATACATACATAAATATAATAGGAATGTGATTTAACAAATAATAAACGAAAAGAGCAAAGTCAGGCCACACACACACACATCAACAAAAGTAGACAACAAAACTGAAGGATAACTATGTAATTCGATATTTTTTTTAAAGTATTTTCGCACGAGAGCCTTGGTTTAATTTGTTGCTCCAAACAGAATCACTGAGGCTTTAAATGCAGTCAGCTAGCTGGTTTCAATGCAAGTCAACGATTGTGCAGGCATGCTCGCTTGAGACAAACAAAGCTTATAAGTTGTATTTTTGCACTCATATCCCGCAGGTTTAGTTTTTGAATTGAAATTTATACATAAATAAATAGTAAAAAATCCACTTGGTCTCGGGCTGCCCTATTTTCAATACCAGCGAGTAGTGTGGTTCGGTTCGTTGCTAACAAAGACGAATCATTAAGATCTACTATCTGCAGTGGGTCGCCCTCGAGTGATAAAATGTAAATGCTCGAAGCGGTGGCAGAGCCAACCCGAATCGGGGCGCATTGATTGGAACACGGCTGCTGATGCGACATGCATATCAATTAATTACCCCGCCATGGCTGTGGCGGTTGTTACATTTGGCTGGGCAGCGGCGGACACTGTGTCATGTGGGATTGGGTAATGGATTACAACAAAATACAAGAGCTGGCGACTGATTGCAAATCACACACTGGACACCACACTCTCTGTGGCTTGGCCTGGGCGCATGCAGTTGGCCGAATTTATTCAAATCAGTTTAGTTCCGTTTGAGGAAGAGTCGAGGTGTCGTCGCTGGGAGTGGATCAATCGTATCAATTGCAATGTGCAAATACGTCTTAATTGCTGCACTGGCCGTGGTAATGGTAAGTGCTTAATTATCCACTAATCACCGCATTAACATTGCCCTTGAATCCCCAGTGCCTGCAGGTGCCCGCCGTCCAAGCCACGCTGCATGACTTTCACGAGGTATTTGACTTCTCGAACGTGGATCTGGCAAATTTTCAGTACTTCAAGAACCTGGCCTCACAGGATCCGCGCACCGCTGCCACCGCCAGTCCCCTGCTCGTGCACTTTCAGAAGAAGAAGGCCGTACTGGACTACGTAGACCGCCTATTCTTCGGCAACTCACCCTTCCAGCAGGCCAGCGAGATCCCCTTCGACCCACATTTTGGTCGATCCTGGCGGCCAAACTACGAGCGCAAGTTCGGCTTCCGCGGCGAACGTTTGATAGCCGCCCTAGGCTCTGGCTATTCTGTCCGGCAGCTGCGCCACTTCGGAGCCATCCCCCAGGAGTTTGGCACGCCACACTATCCCAGTTGAGCGAACTACATACATACAGATTGTACGGTGTACAGAACGGAGTTTCGGTTGTATTTATGAAATAAACTTAAGTTCTATGGCTACACTCTCCGTTTCTGCGTGGATATGTAGAGGACGTTGTTGCCGCGGATGAATGCGTCGCCGTATTTGTTCTTCAGCTGACCGTTTACGTATTCCTCCGTCTGCTCCAGGCAAATGTTCATATAGCCATCCAAGCAGGCCAGCACACCTGCGGGGATAGGCGAAAGGAAGAGAGATGAGAGAGTGTGATTGTTAACGTGATGTTAGCCGGCATTTTTTAAAAGAAGACTCACCACGATAGTCCACGCCATTGTTCAGCTTCACGGCCACGGGGCGGCCATGGATTTGGTTGATAAACTGCGAGAGGGCTTCTTTGCGCGACATTTTCGAGTTTTATTTAGTTATAAATGCAAAAAAACAAAACACGCCAATCACCCTGACGATAACGATACAAAATACCAACCGGCCAAAAAATAAATACCATTTCAGTTTCGAGAAATACTTTGCAACTCTGTCAATAAATTTATATACTGTATGATTAGTGTCGATACTTTTAAAAAAATTTTTTTAATTAAAAAAAAAATGTTAAAATTTAGGAAAAATGTAAAAATAAATGTAAAAATGTAATAAAATTTAAAAAAAAAAAAAAAAATGTTTTTATTACTCATTGCTCGCTGACAAAAGATGACTGATTTGAAACGAAAAATCCCAATAGCTCGCTGACAAAAGCTGATTGATATGAGAGGAAAATCCCAATTGCTCGCTGACAAAAGCTGACTGATATGAAACGAAAAATTCGAATTGCTCGCTGACAGAAGCTGACTGATATGAAACGAAAAAATTCGAATTGCTCGCTGACAAAAGCTGACGTATATGAAACGAAAAATCCCAATTGCTCGCTGACAAAAGCTGTTTGATATAAAGCGAAAAAATTATAATTGCTCGCTGACAAAAGCTGACTGATATGAAACGAAAAAATCGCATTGCTCGCTGACAAAAGCTGACTGATATGAAACGAAAAGTTCCAATTGCTCGCTGACAAAAGCTGTTTGATATAAAGCGAAAAAATTATAATTGCTCGCTGACAAAAGCTGACTGATATGAAACGAAAAAACGCAATTACTCGCTGACAAAAGCTGACTGATATGAAACGAAAAATTCTCATTGCTCGCTGACAAAAGCTGACTGATATAAAGCGAAAAAAATTAGAATTGCTCGCTGACAAAAGCTGACTGATATAAAACGAAAAATCCGAATTGCTCGCTGACAAAAGCTGACTGATATGAAACGAATAAATCGCAATTGCTCGCTGACAAAAGCTGACTGATATGAAACGAAAAGTTCCAATTGCTCACTGACAAAAGCTGACTGATATGAAACGAAAAAGTTTAATTGCTCGCTGACAGAAGCTGACTGATATGAAACGAAAAATTCAAATTGCTCGCTGACAAAAGCTGACTGATATAAAGCGAAAAAATATAATTGATCGCGGACAAAAATGTAAAATAATGGGAAAAATGTAAAAAAATAGAATGCAATTAGCTAAAAGCAATGGGTAGCTTTGTTATTGTTTACAAATTGAACAATTTAAACGAAAATTACGCGTTTTAAAAATTTTTTCGGTTCATTTTTTTTCTTCCGTTATAGAGTAGAATGTCGGCTGCTGATGGCACACCGATAAGTGAATACCCTGAATGCTCCAAATCAGAATCCAAGACCACATAGCCACAATACCCTGCCGCTAAACTCCAAAGCGACAACTGACGAACGTACTATCAACTTTGGCAATAAATTTATGTTTTTCAGAGAACTTTTTATTACGATAAAATTATGTACAAACGTATATCTTTCTATGTATATATATATGAATGGAATTGGTATTTACATTAACCTCCCTCTATTTAAACAGTTGAATACTTTGACTTATACTAAGGACAAATTTTTGAGGACTCTTTTTTTTTTTTTTGATTGCTTTGATGTAAAGGACATTGTTGCAATGAAAAACGACAGAAAGTCCCGACGAAAAACCCTGTTTATGGTGTGACCAGATTTGACAGTGCTGAGCAACGTTGCTTTGCAGCACTGGTCATTTATCGGTAGCACATCAAAATTCAAAACTTTTCGGTTACAAACTACTCAAAATTATAGTTTCGAAAATGATGGCCAGCTTGTGGGTGCGGCGGCTGTTGACAAGTTGCGATGGCATTGGCAACAAGTTAGTACGTGCCGCTTCCTCATTCGACAGCGTGATGAAGCCGCTGGAGGGTTTCAAGCCGACGCCATCGTTTAAGATAACCGTGGTAGGTTCGGGCCAGGTCGGAACTGCAGTTGCGGCATTTCTTTTGGCGCGCAACCTCACCAAAAATCTGGTTATCCATGATGTGAAATACGATTTGGCCACCTCGGAGGCGTTGGATTTCTCCCATGCGTCTGCCTTCCTGGGCAATCCGATTGTCCGAGCCTGTGGTGATGGAAATCGTACCAAGAATTCCGATGTTATTATTATTACAGCGGGTGCGAGGCCTTCAGGCAAAACTCGATCTCGCCTGGACGTGATGCATAAAACGGTTGAGATTCTCAAGTCGGTGGTACCCAAGCTGGCCAAATTGAGCCCCAAGGCGGTCTTCATTGTCATCTGCAATCCAGCCGATGTGATGACCTTTGCTGTGCAGCGCATCGGGAACCTGGAGAAGCATCGGTGCTTCACCACCGGCTGCCACCTGGACACGGCCCGCTTTCGTTATCTAATCGCGAAACGCCTCAAGGTTCCCACATCGGATGTCAAGGGCTATGTTATAGGCGAGCATGGCAGTACCGCCGTGCCCGTGTGGTCCAGTGTCACGGTGGGTGGGATTCGACTGAGCGACATCGTGAAGGATTTGGGCACGGCCAAGGATGCGGAGAAATGGTCGGACCTCGTCGATGGCATCCTAAATGCCGGAGTGCACGTGAGCAAGGCCAAGGGCTATACAAATTGGGCCGTGGGGTTGACTACCTCAGATGTGGTGGCCTGCATGCTGCAGAATACCGGCAAAGTGTGCTGCGTGGGTACAGATGTGAAGGGACTGTACTGTCTAAAGGACAGTGTGGTACTTTCTGTGCCCTGTCGGGTCACAGCCAACGGAATTAGCCACATTATGGAGTTGCCACTGACCGAAGATGAGCATAAGAACTTGTTGAAATCAGCTGATACACTGCTTTCGGCCCAGTGCTCCTTAAAATGGTGATCTATTGATTCAGCCCTCAAGCTGAAAATAGAACAGAGAATAAGAGAATAAAAAGAAAGAGAAAGAAGCAAACAAATAAACAGCTCCCACCATCAAGCATTCCACAGAGTGAGACAGAGCGAGAGGAAAAGAAATCACTTGCCCATTGCCCTTTCCACTTGCCAGCGACGTCACAGTGATAAGAATGAGCGAGCAAGCGAGACGACCATATACATATTTACAACTGTAAAAGTGCAGCGGCAATCAGTTGAGCATACCGCACGCCCGCGCCGCCTGCTCTTCCATGTTTTGCTGGTGCCCTGTGCCCAGAGATCAGAAATTTTTGTAATTTCCATCAAAATTATGATTAATTTCTTGTGCCAAAGTGTCAACACTCTAGTTTCGAGCGGGTGGGGAGGGGGCAGTCCAAGGTCTTGGGGAAGGTCTCCAACGAAATCGAAAGTCAAAGGTCTTGAAAACGATTAGGCCAGCAGAGAAAATGGTAGGAAGAAAAACTCGTAGAAACACTCGTAACTTTAGAAGATCTCAAGACGTTTTTGGGGGGGCCGCCGCCTCAATGCGATTGGGGCCCCTCCGCTTTTGTGAGTAAGATCGATTTGGAGCCAAGGTCTTGATTTGTAGCAGGCGCACACAAAATCCAGCAACGATCTCGTTCCGCTTCCAGCGTTTCCCATACCCCGCGCTGATAGTTCGGTTCGCCCACGCGTTGCACGCACTCGCATGCGGCGAAGCGAGACAACGACTGCCCTGACCCAGGGCCCGCGCTGCAGCATCCCAGAGCCAGAGCTCCCATCGACCCCCAGAGTGTAACCAAGTGTAACAGACGACTGGGCGAACAGGCGCTGCCACTAGCCGACAGAGCCGAGATTTTTACACGCCTCGTTGCATGGTCTGGGAAAATTTTCTTTGCTCCTCTCATTTTCGGGTCTATTGTTAAGTGAAAGAAAAGAGAAGATCGTAGCTAGCCACGCCCACGCCCACGCCGACAGCTCTTTCTGGGAAAGTCAATAATTTGTTTTAAAAGTGTGGAAAATGTTGAGCAACAATTTGTTGTTTGTTTAACTAATTGAAATTCACTAGGCGCACAGTGCGTGCGGGCAGTAAACGCACCACACAACACATATTTCACTTGCCACTTGCCACCGACTACCTGCTGAAACATTTTGGGATTTTCTTTTCCGATTTACAGCCAAGACTTCTGGCTCTTTCGTGGCTCTTCTATTTCTGGCACCCTATTGAAATGCTACAGTTTTTCCCCCAAAATCACGATCGAGAAGTGCAGAGAGAGAGAGAGAGAGAGCGAAACAAAAGCGAGAGCGGGGGACCCCCATGGGGCATGACCAATCATTATTTGTTTAATATTTTCCCGTTTGTTTTGGTTTTTGAGTTCCAACCAGGGCCACAGAAGTGCCAGCAGGTAATCTATGCGTAGATAGGGTGCTACCTGCTGCCTAGATTCGGTGGCATTCTAACGGCTGCTGTTGACCTGTTGAAATGCTACACATTTGCATGCAGCCAGCGCCAACCCTTTTGGGGAATACCATTTATTACATTACCATTTATGTGGGATGCTACAACATGATGCTGTACTTTTGCGAGTGAGTGTAGGCGCTTCTTCGGTTTCTGTTTGCCTGTTGAAGTGCTACACATTTGCATCATTCAACTCTTTTGCCCGTAGAAGTAAAGTACATCCGCGGGAGTTTCATTGGCCATTGTGTGATCTGCATCAGGGCTGCGCTGCTGGGGGCGCGCTCTTCATCTGCTCTGCTACTCCCACACATGCAATGATCATCGGGCCGCGATGCATTGTCGAAGTGCATCCGAGTGTAACCTTTGAACAGGCGAACAGCAGAGTGCAGCCGCATCTCGGCTGCAACTGCATCCCAGTGAGTGCAGTCTGAAGATTTTTCCCACTGCAGCTGCAGGTAGTTTTGGACCACCAGGGCCCTTGGGCTTGGGTTATATTTAACAAATGGATGTGGGATTTATACAAGTGCATTCATACATACTCGTACACACATTGTGTGATTGGTTGAGTGTGCATTTTGTTGTGTGGGATGCTGGATGCAGTTTTCTCGCTACTATTAAAGATGCCAGCCTGTTCGCTTTGGCCACGCTCCAGTGATCTTCTCGAAGGAGGGTCACTGATTTGGGGTCAATGGTTTTGTTGTTCCGTTCTTCTCCCCTACTATTAGCTGTGTCAGCCTGTTCGGTTTGGCCACGCTCCAGTGATCTGCCCCAATTGCATCCCAAGGAATAACACAACTTCAGTTTTTATTTGGGATGCTGGCCCCCGCCTATTCCTAATTTTGTGAGCCTGTTCGGTTTGCTCACGCTCCAGTGATCTGCGATGATGTTCTCTCCCACAGTGCATTTCCCTGTGGATGCTGAATGAAGTTTTCAGACCCCCATTGCGTTTATACGGGGCTATATTTAACGATGGATTGTGGGAATTCAATGGGTGCGTGTTTTGGGTGCATTTCACTGATTGTTCGGCTGATTGTTTTCCCATTTGGAATGCTGGATGCAGTTTTCCTCCTACTACAAGTGATGACAGCCTGTTCGCTCTAGCCTGTTCCACGCTCCAGTGATCCTCTGAGTGCATCTCAAATGCATTAGATCATTTGGCTCATTTGGGATGCTGGATGCAGTTTTGGTTTGTTGGCTGAGTGCCCTTATTATCAATTTTGTCAGCCTGTTCGACTTGGTCACGCTCCAGTGATCTTCTAAATGCACTCGTATTAGAAAATTAAAAATGATAATCGCTCCCTGGGGATGCACTTAATTTTCCCTGAGATCAGGTTGTGGGTTCCGATTTTCTGCTAACCTGTTCGTTTGATCTCTATGGTCATGCTTCACTGATTTTTCCCGGAACTATGCTCAAAATGTCCCATGACCTTCAGCCTTTTCACTCTTTTTCCACCGACCGTCACGTGTCTAGCTTTGATGTTGCCCTGTTCTCTTAATCCACTCTGGGACACGACTCGCTGATTTTCCACAATAGGTTCTACGGGATAAGCAGGTAGATCGACACATCTGTTTTTCCAAGATTAGTTGCCTGCACAGGATGCTGTGTGCCTATTCGAATGCTACAGTTTCGTGACCTTTAACTCTTTTCCCAATGTTCCCAGGCCCATCCCAGGTCACACTGTTGCATCATCAACACCCACAAATACTTCTGCCCAAAGGGTTAAGGGTTAACCTGCCTTAAACTGTAGCATTGGAATAGGGAAACAACGCTTGAAATAGGTCGATTTGGAATAGATAAAATCCTGCCCGAAACCTTCTGCCATTTTGGCCTAGTTAGAACCTTTGAAGCCCTGTTATTTTGAACCAATTCTTAACGCTTCACTGATCCCAAGGTGATGCTGCAGGCGATCTCCAGGAACAGTTTGTACTCCTACGCTTTCTTTTCTTCCTGTTAACCTGTTGGTTTTTATGCGCTTGGTCACGCTTCATTGATTTTCATCTATTTATTATTTCTCTACTAATGATCTCTATTGGAAAACCTTTGCTTTGACCTTTTGGGCAGCAGAGCCTGATCTTCAGCCTGCAATTATTGTTAGCCTGTTCCCAAGATACACATGAATGCGCTTCAATGATTTCCTTGCCAACAAGCGATGCCTGCCGCCTACCTGGCGGAGCATCGATCGCTTCCACTCCTCTGCTGACCCCTCTTTGTGGATGCTGAGAACCTGTTCGAAAATTATGCATCGATGCGCATCAGTGGCAATCATCGCCAGAGCTGAGATAATTGGATGCTCGATAATGATGATGCTCTGCTGGCTGCATGACGTTAATGGACGGATGCTGCGCGTTCTTTCAGTTGGAACTGGAGTGGAGATCGCCTTGCTCCCCAGCGCTGTTCACCTGTTCGTTTGCTACACTTTATGCATGATTCAGTGATTTTCTAATTATGATTTATGATCGCTGGGATTAGGCAAACAATGATGTAGCTTCCATGGACTTCCCACGCTCTTCTCTTCTCCTACTTACTTCTATGCTTCCCCATTCGAATGCTTTGGTTTGGTGACCTCTAACTCTTTAGCAATGTGGACTCTTGGTGACCGCAAATCCCCCTGAGGACAAAAGCGCCAAAGGCTTAAATCTGTATCATTCGAATAGGGGAACAGAATCTTCTAGCTGTCTTCGCCTCATAACTCACCAAGCCAGCTCAGCAGGTAGATGATATTTTTGTTCCCAGTCAGGTAGATGAGAGAGATTGGGCTTGGACCCTTATGCCATGCCACAATCTCGGCTGTATGTATAACTCGCCTGAACTGCTGCCTTGTGCTGCTCTCCTAATCGAGTGGTTCGGCTTGATTGCACTTTAAACCGCAGGCGGTGCCCCCAGGGATTTGTGTGTTCCTGGAAGACGAACAAAAGCCACTCGACAGGCGATGGCGACGGGACCCAGGCATCGTTTGATGGATGAGTTGTTTGTTTGTTTTGCTAATTGATTTTGAACAGGCCAGCAGAAGGCACATGAAGGATGCCGATCCCAGAAGTTGGTCCTGCCTGCTGGTTGGTCCTGTTCTCCTGTTCGTTTGCTTTACTTTTTGAACTCTTTTTCCGTTGGCACACTGCCAATTTGCATAATTTGTAACGATTTCCTGTTCATTTTAATACGGCGTGAAATTGGAATGGGCCCGCAGAGGCCACAAGTAGGGGCATGCCTCTACTCGCTTGAATGCTTATTGCGGCTCAATCACAATTGTAATTCGATGCGTGTCTGAGTCCATTATTGTGGGTCTTGGTCTCGGTCTTGGGTTGCGTCTGGATCTGGATCTGAAGTGTGTCTTTAGTGGTGGTTGCCAGTCCTCGTCCTCGGCCTGCCTGTGCTGCGTTCCTATTCAAAAACATGAAATTATCGTGACAAACATCAGGGTTCATTAAGTTGTTAAACATATTTACCCCCCACACACACGCACACAGCGATCTCGGCGATGATCGTGTTGCCATGGCAGTCACCTGTCATATTCCACCTTTGGGGCACAGTGCGCTGCCGATCCATGCAACAGGCTGTCAGAGAGTGTCGGTCGGTGGGCGTGTCTCTCTCTCTCTCTCTCTCTCGGGCACTGTGTAATTTGAGACCCCATAATTTTCCACTTGATAATCTGTGCTGATGATCACTAATTGGCTGTCAAAGTGACAGGGTCGCAGGCAGCCGCAGCAAGTGAACGCCGTCGGAAACTATTTCTGAACAGTTCTTGGGGTTGCTGTTGCTTGTGTGGCGTTGTGGCGTGTGGCACGTGCCGCACTTTCTTTGTGTCGCTTCATGTGTAATTTGATGCTTGTAAATGTCTTGAGGCCGAACAGGCCAGCAGGGCCTTGGAGTAGGGTGAAAAGATGTTTATTTTTGGGA